CTATCTACTACATCTATGATTTTAACTAAAAAAATTTAGAGGCTGCTTGGATATAAGTGTGTGATTCGATATTTAGGTTTGGACTGTTGTTTTTCATAAATTTTTTGGTTAATCAGAGTTAATTGTTAAAAAATTTGGTTGAATTAATTTTGAGCAGAATTTTGAGTTTGTACTAAAATAATATTTAAAATAAAATGATTATATATGATTTGATGTAATAATATTTAAAATAAAATGATTAATTGTTAAAAATTAATATTCCGTCAGGATTCGTAACCGTTAGATTATCATGTAACCATCGAGGATAATTGATCTAACGGTTATAAACTCCGACGCCTGGTTCCGTAACGGAACTGTAGCATCTCCTCTAATTATATTCCAAGTGAACTACGCGTCAATACAAAACACATTGACGTGATGTGTCATTTTCTACTGTGGTATTTCGATAAAAGATGTTCTTGTTTTAATTTATTTTAACCCTTTTTAAATCAAATACGTATCTATCTACTACATCTATGATTTTAACTAAAAATCTACCGTGAAATTTCGATAAAGATGTTCTTGTTTTAATTTATTTTAACCCTTTTTAAATCAACTACGTATCTATCTACTACATCTATGTTAACTAAAAAAAATTAGAGGCTGCTTGGATATAAGTTTGTGATTCTATATTTTGGTTTGGACTGGTTGTTTTTTATGAATTTTTTGGTTAATCAGAGTTAATTGTTAAAAAATGTGGTTGAATTAATTTTGAGCAGGATTTTGAGTTTGTATTAAAACAATATTTAAAAAAAATGATTAGATATGATTTGATGTAATAATATTTAAAATAAAATGATTAATTGTTAAAAATTAATATTCCGTCAGGATTTGTAACCGTTAGATTATCATGTAACCGTCGAGGATAGTTGATCTAACGGTTATAAACTCCGACGTCTGGTTCCGTAACGGAACCGTAGCATCTCCTCTAATTATATTCCAAGTGAACTACTTTTGAACCATCTCTTATTTTTTAATTTTTTTTAAGAAAGTCACGTAAATGTGACGTGTCAATACAAAACACATTGACGTGATGTGTCATTTTCTACAGTGGAATTTCGATAAAGATGTTCTTGTTTTAATTTATTTTAACCCTTTTTAAATCAAATACGTATTTATCTACTACATCTATGATTTTAACTAAAAATCTACCGAGGAATTTTGATAAAGATGTGCTAGTTTTAATTTATTTTAACCCTTTTTAAATCAAATACGTATCTATCTACTACATCTATGATTTTAAATAAAAAAATTTAGAGGCTGCTTGGATATAAGTTTGTGATTCGATATCTTGGTTTGGACTGGTTGATTTTTTATAAAGTTTTTGGTTAATCAGAGTTAATTGTTAAAAAATTTTGTTGAATTAATTTTGAGCAGGATTTTGAGTTTGTATTAAAATAATATTTAAAATAAAATGATTAGATATGATTTGATGTAATAATATTTAAAATAAAATGATTAATTGTTAAAAAATAATATTCCGTCAGGATTTGTAACCGTTAGATTATCATGTAACCATCATGGATAGTTGATCTAACGGTTATAGACTCCGACGAATGGTTCCGTAACGGAACCGTAACATCTCCTCTAATTATATTCCAAGTGAACTACTTTTGAAATATCTCTTATTTTTTAAATATTTTTCTTACGAAAGTCA